GTCCTAATGGCAGGGCTATATAAAAGTAATAGTAGTAATAAAATTCTGCCTGTAACATGGAGGTTGCGGGTTCTTAGAATTAGTTACAAATGTGACACCCCCTCATTTTCTCAGTAACTTTATGGACAGAATAGGTATGTCACATCCATAATGGATACGAGAATATATGTCACAGGATGTGGGTAACGTTGTCATTCTTTCACTGGCGGTTGATTTATGGCCAAGGATCATTGTGCAAGAGCGTTTCCTGACTGGAGGGTGTGATGTGCACCAGGATGAGTCAGGAGGGCCTGTACATTCACACTGGAAAAACTGCCATGCATTTTAACAGAAACGTATAGGCAGCTGGTTACCTGCTAGTTACTGCATTTCAGATTACATTAGATAGCCATAAGCTTGTGTCTAGAAAATACCTGTATTTTAGTTGAACAGTCAGAGCCCCACAAAGCTGATTAATGTTTTAATGGTAGTTTTGTAGCCTAAAGTTTTTCTGCTTTACACATAAGAGACTGTCTACTCTGGCTTTAGCATTTCTGGGACAGAAACATGCACACTGCAGCCTGAGGGGTGTGCACTTCAGCCCTACCGATAAATGAGAATTAAATTAATAAACTGTTTAAGTAACACCTGGCATCATAAAACAGCAACCATTTCCAATGGCAGGTGATGCTACACATTACAAGCAAATTAAACCAAATATTAACAGATACCATATTGTACACTCTTAGAAAAAAGTGCTTTCTAGTACCTTTGAAGGTTTTTCATTTATCCTGCTGGAGGTTCATCTTAGATACAGATAACTTTAAGGGGTTCTTTGTATAACACTCAGAATAAGGTTCTACAGAGAACCTGTGAGTGAAATCCATATTAAAGAAGAACCTTTAAGGGTTCCCCCAGCAGGACAAGCAAAGAACCCTTTAGGCACCTTTTTTTCTGAGTGTAGTCAAGATCCCTCCAGTCCCTTATGACACAAGGTCCCTCACTGAGCAGAAGTCTTCCTGACTGTCTTTGAGTGACTCCAACCATTGCAGTGTACTTATTGCCATCCTCAGGGTTTATCCTGCAATTTATCTCAGAAGGAATGTATGGCATACAGCTCAAAGGTTTATTGCAGCGCGCTGTTAGAATACCAGGGTAAAGCTTTACCGTGCCAGAGTGAAGGACACAGCAGGCACGGAGCTGAGTTTTTAGCGGAGCGATAATGATGCAATCACTAGCATTGATTAAGTGCTATTCAACCCACCTCAATGGCATCAATCTGATCAGTGCTATAATCAGCTTGATCACAGAGTTAATCAGCCTAATTACAGCTACACCCTAGCTGATTTCCCTAAATGTGGATTTCCTAAACGACCTCATCATACTCAGACCTCAAAACCCAAAATGTGCAGGTTTCAGAGTACCCTCTGCCACCCTTTTCACATAGTGTAACATGTATGACTGCCACCCTTCTCACATAGTGTGATGTGAATGACTTGTGAAGTATGAGCTCTGAATATGGAACTACTGTTTAAATCAACATGTATCTCCCAATTCACAACAAACCATAATGGTGTAGAATTCATATGGCCCCTAATAAAAGCCCTAGTTATACCACATATATACCACCTGTTTTTATAGCTACCTGCTACCACATGCTTAGCTAGCTTGCTTGAGTGAGATTGGTTGATATAATGTTAGGTCTATACTGTTAGCCTGGCTGGATATTTAAGCCTGTATCGCTAAGCTGACTATGAAGAATTAGATCACTGACCAGTTTACAAAAGTCATAATGACTAGCTGCGAGTTAAAACTCCGATATTTGACAAGAGCAATAGAAGGTAATTTGAAACCACTGTTTCCTTACATTATTTCTCTACTCTGCTGCTCCTGTCGTGGCTCAAGCTGGCTCAGTAATTGTGGTTTGTCTGCATTATCTAGCATACCAGAGAACCGTCATATATGAACCTGCTTCCTTTGTCCATGGCCATGATTCAGTGTTTAATTGCAAGTACAAAACAGTTAACCTCCATTCCCATGTAGTACATGTTAATAATGAATCACTTGGGCTTTGACACTTACAGAGCATGGAAAAAGTCCATTGTCATTTTTGTTGTGGTGGTTCATTCAGCCACAAGCTGACATTTCCACAGAAAGGAAATGGAGAATGAATGAAATAACTACAGCATTGTACTAAATGAAATGTAACATTGTGAAAAACTGTGGTATAAATGTTTTGCATATATATCAGCAGAACCACTGGTCTGAAACTGTCACGGCTGAGGTAAAGATGAGTGCTGAAAACATGTCACACTTACCTGTTTGTGGCCGTGGCAACAGCAGCTATTCATCCACCCATCCGATTCACTACAATTAATTCACAAATTAGTGTCATGACGAAACACTGCCTGTGAAACAATGGTGCTCTAACACCTCCTTTAAACCTCTGGGATTTGATTGTCCATTTACTTACAAAAGCTCCTCTGTATGCACCTACTCATTTCTATGCTCAAATTGAATAAATTAATATCACTGTATGATTAAACAGGGGAATCAAAGTCTGTAAACAGAACCAATAACCGTGCAGTAATTAATATCAGATTGCAGCAATGTCACAGCTGATCCAGTGTGTCGGAGCATTTTAGTCACAGAGATATTGATCTTTTGAAGCTGAGCGTCAGGTGAATGTTGACTGTCACACCTGCTCTACTGTGTTGTATAAGGCCTCAGTGTACGCCCAGCAGGGCAGCCTGATAGACACTTCCAGTCAGTTGCTTTGAGTTAGTGAAACTCTGTCATGTGCCAATTTGCACTGTTACTCATGGACAGCTTACCGTATACTGTTGTTTTAACTTCCTCTTCCTTCTGTTTCTCCTTAAAGGAACATTTCATTTTGGTAACACCTTAAGCCCCGTGCTTTCCCTACCTCTGCCGTGTCTTCTGGGACCATTTTCTGTTCATTCTGTCTTCTGAAGGAGCCAAATCTTGAGCTATTTTATTTAAGCCTCATCCTCATTCCCAGACCACTTCCACTCGTTTAACAGAACAACCTGAAAACGTCCTTAAAGCACACATATATGAACGCCATCACTCGGAGCACATTGCAGTCGGCCCGCCTTATCCGCGGGTTTGTCGTCCACGCGGTTCCAGAATATTCTCAAAAAAAGAACAGTGGAAATTCCCGCACGCAGCGTATGCTAGAATACTGTAGTCACTATGATTTATGTGGGTTTTGGCAGTTCTTTGTAGTACACATAGGTGGGGTTCCAAGTTATGATCACATATGGGGTAAAATTATATCATTTTATAAGTGTCCTGAGCATCCACGGTTTTTGCACATCCGCAGGGTTCCTGGGATCATATACCCATGGTCAAGGCAGGCTGACTGTATTGTACTGCAATAATATCAGCATTTTTTATTGTGTATCTTCTGGGGAGAAATTGTGTTATTTGCAGAATGTGGGAAAAGATAAAGAAGATATTGCAGATAGGGGCAAACACCAAAAACTGCCAGAGACTGCTGCTGTACCCACTGAACATGCACTGAACTCCACCAAAGTTCTGTTCCAGATTCAGCTGAGTCTCACACGGGAATGATCCCCACACATTCCCTGCATGCTTTGCTCCTCCGAGTAAACTGCCCAAGCACACCTCCCATCTCATACCAGCACACTGCCAAATTACTGCTGCTGGCTGCCATTCACTCGGGGGGCAAACACCATGGAAGACACTAGCGCTAACACTTAATGGGCACGCATGCAAAATAACACTCGCATTTCACATTTTAGCAAATCCACCGTTTAATAGTGCCTGTGCGATTCAGTCAAGACGGACTTTGGTTTCTAGATGGTCATATGAAATTCTATTTCAGAATAAATATAACACATTCCAAATGATATGTTTGCTTGTCAAACATTCAAAGGAAATGATGTAATGTCAAGTCTGTTTTTACTAGGTTGCCTGTGCTCATAAAGAGACTAAAGTGTGTCTGCCTGTATCCAGCCCAGTGGTTTTTAACACCGTTGATGGCTGCAGGAGAAGGGAGGGTCTCAATTGCTTCCTCCCCAAACCTGGGAAATGACCCTTCATTGACTTATCCACTTGGTGAGTTGATCTTGGGTTTAGATAAAAGCCCGTCATGGGGGATGTAAGTAAAGTGGGAGAGCTGGGGTGGGGGGCGGCAGTGGGGGTGTCCCTGGAGGACTGTTTTACTTGGCTGGGACAGAGGTAACGTGACCCATTCCGGGCTTGTGTTCTCATAGTGGGAGTGTGCGATGAGAGGGAGGTGAGCCCGCAGTGAGAGGGGGATGAGAGTGCAGAGCGAGGGGTGAGAGTGCAGTGAGAGCAGGGTGAGAGTGCAGTGAGAGCAGGGTGAGAGTGCAGGGTGGGAGTGCAGTGAGAGCAGGGTGATGGAAGTGCTGGTTCTGGTTCTGGCTGTGGAGGATTTGACAGTTAGTGTTCTTTCACCTTAGTACCTAGATCGAACCCACAATGCACCTATGCTGATTCATGGCCGCAGTCAAGGGAATTTTGACCAGGACAAAAAAAAAAAGCACAGGAACAGGATGAAGGTGGGAGATCATTCTGTTCTCACACTGACCAGTCAGCTTCTTAGAACCCTGGCAGTAAGGGTTGGAACCCAGATGAAATGGTGCTAGAAGTGGAACACAGGCACACAGATCAGGCCTGAATGCTGTCCAGCAGTACAGAGAGTCGCAGCCCCCAGTGGGACTCAAACAAACAACCCCTGCCTGTTTAACGGCTCATGCAAGTCATCCCAACAAACTTCATATTCCAGCGCACATTTCTCTGGGCACTTTATATGTCACTGTAGACAAGCAAACATGTCCTTCGGAATGAGTCCTTTTCATTCTCAAATAGAACCACTGATTCACGTACAAAGACAAAAGTGCATTTCAACTGAATTGCAAGTGCCCTTAAAGACACTGAAGTAAATTTATTGGGTCCCAGCCTAAGAATCAAATCCACTGATTTTTCTACAAGTTTGGAAAAACTGGTCAGCCTGTAGTCTAGTGGCTAGGTGTATGGCTGGGACCCTTGAGGTTGTTGGTTCAAGCCCCACTCCAGCCACAGGAAGCACACTATTGCTGTTGGAGCCCTAGCCCAAATTGCTCCTAGGGGGGATTGGCCCTTGGTTGCAATAATCTATATATAATATATAACTGTAAGTCGCTTTGGATAAAAGCGCCAGCTAAATGACAGTAATGTACTAATGTAATGATCATATTCACAAGCCATGTTCCTTTCCTCAATGCTGTTGTTCACTTCTGCTCTTTCTGGCTGGTATTCAGAACAGATAAACACACTTCATCCACTCAAATGTATTACATCATGCATTTTCCCCTGTAGCACAGACATCTCTGCTAGCTGTTAGCCACCCAAAGCCACAGCCCGAGCAACCTCCACTGTTCAACGTTCATTCATTTTCATTTGTGCCATTTAAATCTTCACATTCATTTTGTTACATTACATTACGCTGATTTCCAGAGAGAAAACAATAGCACAATGGTATTTCATTCAGAAACACCCCAGTGTTTCCACCCCAGTTAGGGGTCAGTGAGTTCCAACAGGAAAACCGATTCTTGAAAAAGTCCTTGGAAGTAGCATTGTTTAGTTTCAAACAGCTCTTTTGGGTTGAAAACGGCAGCTTCTAACCGCTCAATACATCTGAAGGGGGGGAGATTAAATGAGGGCTCTCCAAAACCAAAGCCGGTTTTCCATCTGAAAGCAGCACTCTATAGCAGACTCATAGTGTCTGCTGACTTCTGATATGTTTAGCATTTGGAACTCTGTAATGAATGGCCAAATGTATGGAAAACGGAACACATGACCTCAGTAAGATCTGCCATGTTCTCAGAGTGCTGTGGTGACCAGCAGAGTGCAATATGTAGGTGGTTACACTGTCCACTGCATTCCAAGCTACAAAGGAGATCAAAGATCTGGGTTTTCAAATAAATGATGCACCATTTATTCAATATGCTACAGTCATTTATGGAACTAAACCTGTAGTTTTGACTAAATGCAACTTAAATGATTCAAGTTAATTGATGCTTAATTGAAGATGCCATGCACATCCACAAACTGGATTCTGATTGACACAAAATCACAAAAATGCTGCAAGTAGTCATTAGTGCTCTATGACCGGAGCGTGTGATGGTCCTGCTGTCCAGTCATTAGTGCTCTATGACCGGAGCGTCTGACGGTCCTGCTGTCCAGTCATTAGTGCTCTATGACCGGAGCGTGTGACGGTCCTGCTGTCCAGTCATTAGTGCTCTATGACCGAGAGCGTGTGACAGTCCTGCTGTCCAGTCATTAGTGCTCTATGACCGGAGCGTGTGACGGTCCTGCTGTCCAGTCATTAGTGCTCTACGACCGGAGCGTGTGACGGTCCTGCTGTCCAGTCATTAGTGCTCTATGACCGGAGCGTGTGACGGTCCTGCTGTCCAGTCATTAGTGCTCTATGACCGGAGCGTGTGACGGTCCTGCTGTCCAGTCATTAGTGCTCTATGACCGGAGCGCCGGTCCTGCTGTCCAGTCATTAGTGCTCTACGACCGGAGCGTGACGGTCCTGCTGTCCAGTCATTAGTGCTCTATGACCGAGCGTGTGACGGTCCTGCTGTCCAGTCATTAGTGCTCTATGACCGGAGCGTGACGGTCCTGCTGTCCAGTCATTAGTGCTCTATGACCGGAGCGTGTGACGGTCCTGCTGTCCAGTCATTAGTGCTCTATGACCGGAGCGTGTGACGGTCCTGCTGTCCAGTCATTAGTGCTCTACGACCGGAGCGTGTGACGGTCCTGCTGTCCAGTCATTAGTGCTCTATGACCGGAGCGTGTGATGGTCCTGCTGTCCAGTCATTAGTGCTCTATGACCGGAGCGTGTGACGGTCCTGCTGTCCAGTCATTAGTGCTCTATGACCGGAGCGTGACGGTCCTGCTGTCCAGTCATTAGTGCTCTACGACCGGAGCGTGTGATGGTCCTGCTGTCCAGTCATTAGTGCTCTATGACCGGAGCGTGTGACGGACCTGCTGTCCAGTCATTAGTGCTCTATGACCGGAGCGTGTGACGGTCCTGCTGTCCAGTCATTAGTGCTCTACGACCGGAGCGTGTGACGGTCCTGCTGTCCAGTCATTAGTGCTCTATGACCGGAGCGTGTGACGGTCCTGCTGTCCAGTCATTAGTGCTCTATGACCGGAGCGTGTGACGGTCCTGCTGTCCAGTCATTAGTGCTCTATGACCGGAGCATGTGACGGTCCTGCTGTCCAGTCATTAGTGCTCTATGACCGGAGCGTGTGATGGTCCTGCTGTCCAGTCATTAGTGCTCTATGACCGGAGCGTGTGACGGTCCTGCTGTCCAGTCATTAGTGCTCTATGACCGAGCATGTGACGGTCCTGCTGTCCAGTCATTAGTGCTCTATGACCGAGCGTGACGGACCTGCTGTCCAGTCAATAGTGCTCTATGACCGGAGCGTGTGATGGTCCTGCTGTCCAGTCATTAGTGCTCTATGACCGGAGCGTGTGACGGTCCTGCTGTCCAGTCATTAGTGCTCTATGACCGGAGCGTGTGACGGTCCTGCTGTCCAGTCATTAGTGCTCTATGACCGAGCGCAGACGGTCCTGCTGTCCAGTCATTAGTGCTCTATGACCGGAGCGTGTGACGGTCCTGCTGTCCAGTCATTAGTGCTCTATGACCGGAGCGTGTGATGGTCCTGCTGTCCAGTCATTAGTGCTCTATGACCGGAGCATGTAACGGACCTGCTGTCCAGTCATTAGTGCTCTACGACCGGAGCATGTGACGGTCCTGCTGTCCAGTCATTAGTGCTCTATGACCGGAGCGTGTGACGGTCCTGCTGTCCAGTCCTTGAGAAACTCCTGGAATCCAGAGAAGACAGCCAAATCCAAGCAAATATCCAAGAGCCCCATGGGAGGATACAGCCGGAGGGGAGTGATGGAAAAATACCGTTAATACCCAAACATGCGGAGGAAGTGGTAAACAGGAAGACTTGATGGGGAAGGAGAGCGCTTTGGTGTCGGGACACAGCCGCAGTTCGGTCCTCAGCGCGCTGTTTCCTGTCTCACTCAATCCCTTTCCTCAATCTGCGTCTGATTTACTTTTCTTTAGCATACCTAGTCTACAGTGGCATCCTGTCTCTTTGAAAGCACACACGTGTGTGTGTGTGTGTGTGTGTGTGTGTGTGTGTGTGTGTGTGTGTGTGTGTGTGTGAGAGAGAGTGTGTTTCCAGGATGTTGAAGGGTATGTGTGTGTGAATGGACAGCATGCATGTGTGTGCGCGTGTATGTGTACATCTGTGTCCATGGTGCATGTGTGATTGCGTTTGTGTGAGTGTGAGTGTGTGGGTATACATTTGCTTGTTTATTGCCATTACTGGGGCGTTTAATTAACGGTTGGAATTTTTCCACTTTGATTGAATAGGATGTTGATCTGCGGTAAGGAATTCAGCTGCTACAAATAGCCTCTGCTCACACAGCCACACACGTTCCAAATGGGGCTCTGCTCATGCACTTCAGACTTGATTAGGGGCAGTTTTTTACATTCCTCCTTAACCCCCCACCCCACCCCAAAATCTTGTATAAGTGAAATTTCCTGGCAAGACGACTGTGTAAAGAATAAAGGTAAATGCAAGGTGGGTACCACGAAGGTAAATGAGAGGTGAATGCACCCTGCTTTTACTACTCTGACTGAAGGAATGAAAAAATACGTAAAAACTTCAGATATCTGAAAGACTTAACACTGGAGACATGGACAGCCAATCAGGAGGCTTGCACAAGGCTTCAGACCTCTTTAGGCCCACACTCCCCCGCTGTGCACACATTCAAGAGCCTATAATAGGCTTGACAGAGGATTTACTTGCTACCAAATTTGACCCCTATGACCTTTGAGAATAATGTCCCCCCCCTACCAGGCTTATGCTAACAGACAGCAGCAGAACAAAAGGCAGCCAGCGCTAAGACCAATAAGTGATTTTCCTCTTTTCTCATCTGACACCTTTCAGGGCTCCGGTCACATCCCGCCTTGCTCAATGAGTTAGCCAGGCACCAAGCCTGTCAGTCAAGCACTACCTCTGCACACACAGAGGGGGGTGGCCGGGGCCTGCTGTTTGCAGACAGAGGAGCAGGAACCCTGACCCCCATATTTTGCGCCCTCAGTCACACATGTTCTGATGAAAGCAAACTGCCCCAGGTCAAGGGTCATAGTAAGTGGAGTGGGCGGGGCAGCATGTGTCTGTGGCACTGTGTATGGGCAACACTCAGCACCGATAATATGCTATTATGTTAAAGCGCTCAACAACACAGCCGACTGACCACCATGGATACCACAGCATTCCCACCCTACTCCCCCAACACACAAACACACACACACACAAGCACTCACAGACACTCATACACATACACGCACACGCACACGCACACACACGCACTCACACACAGACATCAGCCTGCAAAAATCAAACACCAACCTAACTGTTATCTCTGACCCCTGGAAACATTTTCCTTTCCTCGCTCTTGGTGACAAGTGCTATTTTTAGCCATTATCTCTGGCACCCCGTTATTCTGGGGCTATCGCCTTTCACTGTCTCCTCATCTAGCATTTACAGAGAAACAGTTTCCATCGCCCCGCAGCCTTCCACACAGTCATCCTCACATCCTCACATGCACTTACAGTCAGAGATGTTCGCACGACTCTGCGGTGCAAAGAAGGGGGTGGGGTGGGGGGGGACTGACATCTCTGGCCGTAACTGTTGCATCACCAAACGAACATGGCAAAACTGCAAGCAATGTCAGATAGCGTTGCTTAAAACAATATTGACGTAACATCCTGAACAGTGGTGTCAGACAGAAGGGGAGGAGGAGTATGGGGGTTGTGTGTGTTTTCATTTAAACGCTATATAAATATTGTGAGCACCAGGATCCCTTGGAGAACATGTGAGGCTAATGCGGATCTGCATGCTAATGGCGCGTGGCGGATTATTGCATTACTCCTGCTGTGTGCTTTGGACAGCATGAAGTATGCTGATTGAGCCCGATCGAAATCTTCTGAATGAATGGCTGC